TATGGAGGTTTTTTGTTCAGGACTGCAGTGGATTTTGGACTAATAAGACACCAATTTTCTGTTGGCAGTGTGTTTTAACATAAAAAAAAAAAAAAAAAAAAGCTTTAAAGCTTTATTAACTCTCGGTAGGAGAGGGAGCAGTCTTACTTTTCCAGAGGAAAGCACAAACGTTTTGCAGGGCTTCTGGTGGAAAACATCCAGTCACTGCTTCCAGTTTACTTAAATCAGAGAGGTGCTAATCATTTGGGTTGCTTGCTTGTGGATCTTGCGAAATCGAAGAGTAGTGCCTTAAAGGAAGCCAGAATCCAAACTGTATTAAAATTAATATTTCTGTTGCATTTTCAAAGAAATTGGAACTTGATTCACAGTTTGCTGAGCACAAGTATTACCCTCCTAATGCACCTTCAGTAAGTTGATGGGCATATACTAGTAATCCAGTCCCTAAAAGCAATAAAAGTTTCTGATTGTGGCAGTATCTGCCCCCATCTCTCAGGGAGCAGCTGCAAGGTGGCTGAGATGTCTACCCAAACATTGGTGCTGCCCAACAAACATCCTTGTCCCAGGATTCATTGGAAATCTTTCAGCCAAAGCAGGCAAACAGGTCACTTCACCAAATTAAAGTAACAACATTTTATTTCAACTGATAGTCATCAATTAAATGTCCATCACTCACAGCTTGCTGGATTAAATGCGACCAGTTCTGGTTGATGATTAGTTGTTTTCAAGCCTTCCTGTGGGTGCTGCCTCCAAACAGGTAAAATGAGGGCTGAGCTGCTGATTTTGGGGCAGCCTCAAGGAAGGCAGCTCTTGGGGACTTCCCACTCCCCTGGGAAGTGGAGGGATTCTGGGTGGAGTGTGTGGAGTACAGCGGCGTGAAGCTGGGATTCTGACCCAGTCTGTGCCCACAGGGCTGGTGGGGTGTGGGTCGATGCGAGGGCTGCGTGGTACCTCTGCAGGGACACTGGATCCCATGTAGGGTCCTACGGCATGGGATCTCAAGACATCTGTATTACAGCTCTTGCAAATGACTGCGGCAGAAACTCAGTTTTCAGCTGAACAGTTCTGAATTTTTGCCCAATCCCTGAGAATGCCTTTCTAGTAATTATCTCTCAGCTTGATCTGATTTTTATTGTTAGGGTCTAGGTAGGCATTCATAGTTCTCATTGTAAATAATGAAAAATCATGTTTTCTTCATAGCCAGAAAACATAATTTTTAAATATTTTTTGTGATACAGGCAGCAAGTTCAGCAATGTGCTGTAATTCCTACATTTTTAGTAAAAAATATTTGTCTTTTCCAGTGGTGTGAAGCTTCCCTTTTTATTGTAGAATGATCTTTGATATATTAAATCTGGCTATTAGTTGTCCAGCATCTTGTGCCAAAGGGATTTTGTAAAGATGAAGGAATAGAAATAAATCTGTCTTTGGCAAGGCTTAAGCTAGGAGAAACTACCCTGTAAAGCATAAAAATAAAAAGAAGACAAAGTTATAAGTAAGGTAGTTATGAATACCACAGTTAAGGATACACCATCAGAACAACTTATTTTAGATCTCTGTGGTTTATTGGTATGTATATCCATTAATGAATAAAAAGTGTTGTACAGAATAGAACTTTTATGTGTTAGATGTAACAATTTGTAAATTTTTAAATGGAAAATTTTTCTGCTAAATCTCTCCCTTGAGGAATGTGCTTTAAAAATGATTTCTTCTTTAAATGGGGAGAGACTCTGGCTAAAAAATTCTGTGTGAAGGCAGTGTTTTGTATTTTAGGAGAAGTATATTAAATGCTGAGTAAAACTGGAGGAAACTCAGGGTCAGTTTTTATTTTAGCATGATGCTTTGGGTAGGACACAGGATATTATGCTGTGCTACAACTCTGTAATATAGTGCAGGAGAAGGCTGATAATCTTTCAGAGACTTTATTTTTGTTTGGTTTGGATTGCACAGTGTTCACTTGGAGCTTCTATTAGCCCTTTGCTGTTTTATGAACACTGCGATCAAAATAACAATGACTTTTGCAGGATGAACGCTTCACTTAAAATGTTCAAAGAATCAGTGTTTTTACATGTCAGCGGTCTACTTAAGCACCCTACCTGAATGACTGAATAGCTAAGCAAAATGCAATCGCAGGAGCATTGTCGTAGCGATCATGCTGTAATAATATCAAGCTGTTGTACTCCTGTTACTTTTCAGACAGTCGTCATTACTCAGCAGGAACAAACTGTGGGGACTGTGTGAGAGTTGTGATAATCTGATAAGTTGCATTTTAATGTTTGCCAGATCATTTTGTTAACTCTGAAACTCTAATTCAAGTTTTCTTTCATTATTGCATGATACCCTATGCCTTTATTCCCTTATATTTTGTTGAAAATAAGAAAATTATCAGTATGGAGCTGTGCCATCCTTATAGGGTTGTTAATAAGAAAATCAAAATCCTCTGGAGGTAGTTCTAGGGTTGGTGATATTTTTAAAGCTTAACATTTTGTCAGCTGTCAAGAACTATCTGATTGAAGAAATTGCTTTTGATAAAATTTAATGGCTTGGGAGTCACTTTAGTAGTAATTAATCCCTCTTGCTTAAGCATTTTCCTAAACGCTATAAATCCATTTGACTGCTTTAAGAACGGACACATTATCAGTTTATTGGGGAAGTTATGTCAAGTGTCTCTGTTTTGCATGTGTGCTTTGAAGAACTTATCTTTAGAGACATTATTTTTAAATGGGGGAAGAAAGTAGGATTTACTCGCCTGAAAATGGCTCTTTTCTATTGTTTCTTCTCTCTGCATAACATTTCCTTTTCAAAATGGCTGGAACAGTTTGAAGGGTAAATGCTGGGGGCAAGACTAGTTCACTTGCAGTTTATATAAGCAAAATGGTGCAAGTTGTTCTATAAAATAAATTGTAAAGTAATTTAATGGCAGTATTTATATAAATACAAAACATTATATGTTCAATAAAATTTTTAAGAGCTCCCTATGTAAGTCAACAGGAAAGCAATTTTCCTGCATTTCAGTTAATTTGTTTACAGAGAATGTGCCTTCTGAATAAACAAGCAAATCTTGTCACCTTGATTTAAAAAATAAATAATATATTTTTAATATGGAAGTGTGGAGAAATCTAGAGTTTTGAAATACACCATATATATAATCTAAAATCAGAGAAGAGTTTGAGAATCCATGTCACTAAGCATCGTGTCTCCTATCCAGGTTGAAATAGATGAGTTCGAATGCATAGAAGGTTTTCTAAATGTTCAGATGAACTGCTGGCAGTCTCTTAATTTCACAGAGCCTCTTGAAGAAGAGGAAATATTGGAATTCAGTCTGACACATATGAGTCTTTATTCTAAATGAGGTTGGTTGCACATTTTTTGACAAAATAGAGGAGCTTGCTCCAGAACAAAATCTGATATATTCTTCTATTTTGGATGTTGCATATGACTAGAAACATGACCTGTTTACTGAGCGGTTGTATTAATTCTTCTTCCACAATTTATTGGACTTTGTGTCAGCTTTCATGCACTAGTTTTTTCTTCACTTTTTGTTTGATATCAACAAAACATTGCATTGGGAAAACTTGGTTGGTTTGTGGATACATACAAGCTTATGGATGCATCTGTATGCGTGATTCACAGCATGATTACAAATAATATCTATACTACCTATAAAATACCTACTAAATTTGTGACCAAAATCTTTCCTGTCATCAGTTCACTTGTCCTTTTGCTCCCTTTCTTCAACATACTAAACTGGCCATGTTGCCATTGTAAGATGATGTATGTGATTAGAGTATTTAATACATTACCTAGTATTACTCTAGGAAGGACAACATTTTTTTCAAATTATAAAATTGTTTTCTATTTCAAGAGAAAACTATTTTCTTTGTGTTTTTCTATATTGCATTGTCTTTGGGTTCTTTTATTACTATAATATAACACTAAGTATGCCAACTTTTAGACTAAGATTCTATTTGGGTAGTCTCTTACAATGTCAGAAGAAAAAGAAGGACCTTCTGCTTAAAGGGTTAAAAGACAGGAGGCAGCTGTATCATACAATAGAAGAAAGTAATAGGTGAGACCCACTGAGGGTCATTGGCAGTGATGATGAAATCATTTGTTTTAAATATGGTTTTAAAAAAGCTTCCATAGGTTAGCTTTACATTGTCAAGTCTTGTACCGGATCAGGTTTCATCTTTCCTACTAGGGCTAATATAAAGCCAGCAGAAACTTGATAATGTGTGATCGTGCTAATGTAAGAAAAGGGAGATCGTGTGCTGATATTTAATCTGGATAAAGTGTGATTGTTGAGTGATCCTGTAGCATGAGCATTTGTGGTGTTTGTACACAGGTATAGTTGTCTTGGGTTCTTTCATTGGGCTGCAAGGTTCTACCATGCAGGGCCAGGCATGGGGAAGTTTTTAGAGAGAAAGTAGAACAGGGCAGTTTCCCCCTGGGAAGTCCTTGCACCTAGGAGGGCATCACAAGATAGAGCACGAAGGTATCTGCTTGAAAATTTTACAAATGGCTTGTACAAATGGTGTCCTGAGCTGACCAGACATGGAAAGCTGCCATTTTGCAGTCAATGGCTTTGACAGTTAGGAACATGTAATTTTTTTTTTGGTGTGATGTTACTATTTATAATATATGCTTGTTATGTCTGCTTTCTGATAATCATAGCTTATTGAAGGCAAAAGTCTTTTCTTTTCATGACTAAAATGTTTTTCTCAGTTTTTAATATCAAAGTGTCTTGAAGTCTTTATTTCTGTAAAGCTGTTTAAGGAAAATGCTTTACAGCAATTTTCATGCATGTGTCACTGTCAGTATTTTTGTTTTGTAAGTTTTATTTCAGGTGGTAAATTTAGATGATATTTTAAAACAATGGAAAAGGGAATGAAAAAGAAAATTAACAGCTTATGGGTTTCAATTCCTTGGCTATTTTCTGTTTAATGATGGCATGTGATTTTATTTTACAGATAGTGATGATTTAGTTTCTTTAACTCTTTTACAGGCAACTTTGTCTAAGGCTGTTTGGAAATGGAAATTAATATCAATACATTCTCCTTTCACTGGTGTTTTGGTGCACTTTTCAGGAAGCATGAAGTAAAGGAATGACAGGATTTTTCTTTACAAAAGGTATTTTGCTTTGTTTCCAATAGGTATATAACATAACTTGAAGATTTCCTAATACTTTGTTGTTGCTTACCGTTATCTGATGATGCAGTCCTGAGTAATGTGCTCTAGGAAATCCTGCTTTAGCAGGGGAGTTCGTCTAGATGATCTCTAGAGGTCCCTTCCAACTCTGACCATTCTGTGATACTCAGCTTATTTGCTGTCCTTCAATCCCCTGTAACTTGCATTTTTACCTCAAATGCTCTTTTGTTATTAGAGGGCAGCCGGCAGGGCAGAGGGGGAAAGGAGGGGAAGGGAAGAAACTCTGTTATGTATAACTCATTTCATGTTTGAGTTTTGTTTGAATACTTTTATGTCAGAATATAGAAAGAAGATTATTTTTTTCACTACTCTTCGATGATCAATTGAGTACAAAAACTCATCATTTGAGAATGACCTACAAAGAAACATCCCCAAGATGTTTTCTGCTGTTCTACATTCTATACAGAAAAGCCAAGCATGATTGGATAGGGAAGGCACTCTTTGCCCAAGGTAGGTGGTGGATCTTGTTCTAGGCCTTTTGTGATGGAGCACAGGATCCTGTATGTAGCACAGATCCTAAATGGGTAGTAGTTACATGATAAACATTTCATTTAGGATGAAGGAGATCTAATTTGGCTGTCCTGAAGAATCTTCGTTAATACTTTGGAAAAAGTATCAAAATTGAGATATAAGTCAGTGTCCCATTGCCTATATTACACCTTGATTATTGGCATTTTGACAGGATGCGTGTTCTATAATGTGTATATTTTCCTAGTGAGTAATACTGAGTTGAACTGATGAAATAGAAACATTACTACTACTTCATCAAATGGCCACCTACTGTTCTACCTTGGTTTTATAACTGACCTTGTGTCAGAACTTCATGTGCCATTAATAACTAGTTGCACGTCATTTCAACCCTCTCTCTCTGAGGCAAAAGTTAGTTTTCTTTTTTTTTCATTCTGACATAGTAACAGTAGTTAGTTAGCAAAACCGTATTAAAGAAAAAGCAACATTTTGCAAATATGAACAAACAATATAGTTTGGGTAGGATATTAGATACTTGGAGTGCCTTTTTTAGATGAGGGTACAGTTTACTAGCTAGTTGAAATAAAGGTATGCATTAGTATAGTTTTAAGTGCTATTTCTTTATGCTGGCTTTCAAAGGAGAACTGAACATGGGTTTTTTTAAGCTTTTGAAATATACAGAAAGAAATAAAAAATAAACTGTGAAGTAGTGTTTTTCCGACCTCTCAAAGTTTGGGGAATTTAAAGTTCTTCCTAAAAGGTTACAGGAATGCTGTTACAATACAGTGCAATTGCAATTTCAAAAATACCAAGATCTGGCTAGTCCATGAATTATTGCGTTCTGAGTGTGCCTTCACTGCCAAGGTGGAGAAACACTAAATTCCCCAAAGATTTTCTTGGTGGGAGTTGCGGAAGAGGGAACTTGGAAGTCCTAAGTCTCTCAAAGCCTGAAGCTTGTGTAGGCCTTTCAGCTTTGCATGTCTCTGTGTTTGCTTCTGATGGTCAGGGAGCATGGCACCTCTAATTTTAGCAGTGTGGGAATCTGGATTCAGAGTATGTTATGTAAACCCATATAAGTAGAAAACTTCTGATTGTATTTGTCTTTCTCTTGTATTTTGCCTTCTGTCTTGCTAAGTTCTAAGGTCACTTGAGCTGATTCGATAGAGGTTGAAATATGTGATGAATTTCCAGGGAGTTAGTTTTAGCCAGAGAGTCATTTTTCTGACTACACAAAAGTCTTCAATGACTCTAAAGAAGTTGTGCTGTTTGCAAGTATTAATTACTTATCTAGAAGCCATATCTCATTTCATAAGGAGTTTTTCTGTAGATAGTCCAGACCCCTATACTTAGTTTCAGAGGCAGAAAAAATATGTATAATAAATATGCCAAATATTGGCATATGGTCTTGGCCCTTATCAGCTGAGGTGCTGTGGCTGTCATGCCACGGTGAAACTAATGGCTTAAATCTGATTTTAAAGATACTCTTACATAGTATTTGCTTTGTAATTTTGCTAGAGCAACTCTTACCTCTTCAGTGCTTGTAGCAAGTGCAAGCTGCTGCAAAATTATTTTGCTGTTTATAGTTTCCTTAAGAAACAAACGGCATTATGAAGAGTGGTCTTTGAGGTATTTAAATGTTTAAGATCTGGTGCGTGTGAGGGTTTTAATAGTAAGTGAATCTGCTATGGTCGACAGAGGAGGGGAGAAAGGCAATAATTAGTTACCAGGATAAGGCATTTGATGTAACACTGTAAGTAACCTATGTCTGACAGATGTGATGCTTTGGAAGAGTGTGCCAGGTACAAAGTCTGTCTTTTGTAAAAATTTTACTTTTTCTACTTTCTGATAAACATATTCATCAGAGGAAACAGAAATTCAGAGTTAATGTGAGGAGAAATGTGAAGCGTAATGAGACTTTAACATGAAATTTTCCACTTGCAATATTCAGTTTAGAAATGGCCTTCACCAACTAGCTCTGAAGCAAGTGTGACGGGAGTTTTTCTATTATTTTTCTTCAATATAAAATGTATGTAACAACTTTTAAAATTTTTTTTAGCCAATATAAAAAGAGGATCATACCTATGTTGCAGCAAACAAGCTAAAAAACCCCAGCTACCAAACCTCTCAAAATTATTTCTCTTTCCATCTCCTTTATGCTGTTTAGATTAAGTGATTAGATGTCAAGTTTTGATTTCAGATTAACCTACTGGCAACTATACTAAACTATAATTTATTTTTGATTTTTTGTTTATCGTTGGCTAACTGACATCCCCATCAGTCAGTCTGATCTATGCAAGCACATCTTTCCATGTACACAGAACTTTAAATGTCCAAAATGGTGGAAGCTCCTCCGGTGTAGAGAACATGACAGAATCAAGAGGCATCTTAATAACGTAAAATCACTTGCAGTAAATCCTACAGTTAACAGTGTAAGTCTGTGTGAGGCATTTTGTAAATCTAGTGGTTGATTTAAACATCATATCTGGCACTATTTTTTTATTTTCTTCATGAGTTGGAAGAAGCTCAGTTTTTTCTGAGTATAAAATATGCATATGGATTTTTTAGAGAGCATTTGTTTGATAACTTACTGTCATTGACAGTAATACAATGATTGCTCTCTACAGGATTCTAAGAGCAGGAAAATAATTGTTAGAGGCTGAGTGTTTTTTAAGGTACTTCAGATGGAGTTTTATTGCAGGTGGTAGATAGGGAGAACCCCATCTTTGGCATTGCAAAAGTAGGGAAATTTTTTTCTTGGCTTGCAATGGAATTTGATCTATTTGGTGTAAGCCATGACCATTCAGGTGAAAACCTGTTCCCTCCCTGAAACTGCCTTTATAGATGTCACTTTAAGAATCTCCAGATTGCATTGGAAGTTCAGGAACTTGTTTATGCAATTAACCATATTAGAGGCTACAAGCACACTGTTTGTTATGACAAATTATGACAGAATTACCCCCTTATGTATCCTTATTTAATCTTTTTTTCTGGTTGCAAAAGCAGTTCCCTGAAACTTCTGTCTTAACACTTTTCCATATCTCTTACAAGATTTAACAGTAACTTGTATCTTGAACCCACGTTTTTAGGCATGTAGAAATACTACTCTATCGTATCAAGTATGTGATTAAATTACAGTTGCTTAAAATCACTGCAATGAATGGTCTATGCATGCTCTGTTGGCACTCAGCAGATCGTAATTCGTCCAATCCCATTGCCTTTGCACTAGAAACTCAGCAAAGTGCATGTAGAATCATACAATGCTTAGAGTTGGAAGGGACCTTAAAGATAATTTATTTCCAACCCTCCTGCCATGGGCAGGGACACCTCCCTCTAGAGCAGGTTGCTCAAAGCCCCATCCAGCCTGGCCTTGAACACTTCCAGAGATGGGGCAGCCACAGCTTCTCTGGGCAACCTGTTCCAGTGTCTCACCACCCTCACAGTAAAGATTCTCTTTCAAATATCTAATCTAAACTTCCCCTCTTTCAGTTTAAAACCGTTACCCCTCGTCCTATCACTACAGAGGCTTGTAGTGGCTCAGCTGGCTGCTGATAACCCATTTGGATGTTCTATTTGGCAGTGTTTCTTAATTCTATCCTACCAGATTTCAATTAGAGTTGAGAACCTATGCATCCAGATAATTCTTATAAAAATAGAAGTTTGGCCTTTAAATCACTGAAGCTTTGTAATATTTATTAAAGGAATGTGAACTATCCTTTATTCTGTGGCTCAGTGAACATACATGCTGGGGAACCCAGAACAGGGATCCTAATACCAGTATGTCCCAAATAGCAAGTTGGGTTGCGCCAGGTAGCACTTGCTTAGTCCATCGTTCCTCTTGGCAAAAGTCGTTTTCAGATATGAATATTCTGTGCCTTTTTTGTCATGAGCTTCTGCTTGTACAGTGAAACTTAGGTTTCTGCTAGCTTTGATTTGACTTGGGATCTTTGAGGCCTTTAGTGTCAATACTGAACAAGAAAAATTGTTCTAAATTTGAAAGGCCTGAGGAACTGCAGCACCCAGAGCATTGTTATTTGAGGGAAAATTGCTAGGAACAGTTCTTATACGCAAATGGATAATTGGCTCCAGTACTAATGATCTATCAGTATCTGTGGAAATTTTCAACGTACTTAGTCATTACGGCATGAGATACTGAGTCATAAGAACAATGATCTAGATTTAATGCCCTTAACATTGGTAGAATATCCAAAAAGGCTTATTATGGGTTGTGTTAGGAAATAAAGCACTCTGAAGCCTCAGTCCCTTCTGTGACCCCTGTGGGGCTCCCAGAACATTCAGAAGCATCATTGAAATAAAGTTCAGGGGAAATCTGAATAAGATGATTTTTGCCTTTTGACAGACTACTCAAGCTACTGTGCAGATTTTGCTCTGCAAGAACTTACCATTAAAAATGCATTTAGTAGGCTGAGACATATGGAAGCTATAATACATCTGGTCCCTAAAGCCAAATTGTGTATGAAGCACTATTGGTCTTTTTTTTCATTCCTAAATGTTCTCTACTCGGATGGTAGATTAAATGGTTTGTAATGCTTCCCAATATGTTGACGTTCATGTAAATCAACACATAATCTATCAGCATTGTATCCTTTTGTCTAGTGATGTTTCTCACTATTGATTTTGTAGGATTGAATGCAGAATACTGGATAAGTGATTTCCTTAGTTACACCACTCTTGTTGTTTTAGAACATGAGATCATTTTGATGCATTTTGTTTCTAGTTTAAAAACTACATCCCCCAAAACAACAGCTGATAGACATATTAATGAAGACTTAAGACTGAGGATATGAGTACTTGCACAAGCTTAAAAGGTACTTGATGATGTATGATAACGTTCCCCAAGCAAAGCATTGCTAAGAAGTAAAAGGCAATCATAATGTAAAAGATAAACGTTAAAGACGTGAAAGAGAATCCACAGACTTGATATATGGATATACACTTCTCACCTGAGGCAATCTACCAACTCTAACACTGAGAAACTGTACTATTTCTGTTCTCAGAAAAGATTATATTAATAATTAGCTTAAATTTCAAAAACATATTTCCACCTCTTGGCTTACTGTAGAAAACAGATTTGGGGCTGTTTGGGACTGCAATGGCATATTCACTCTGCACGAGAAGAACACATACAGATCTCTTCTGAGCTCATAGTGGCCACTTAGCTCCAGACCTGAAAAGCAATGTAGCTACAGCAGGAGGATGCAGCATGTGAAATTTTTTTTCAGATCAGGCATCCTGAGGTCTTCTGATGCAGAGATGTAAAATGTTTCTAAGCCCTCATGACACTGACAGATTCTGATCTTGTTAAATATTTCCAGTGTTTGCCTACACTGTCTGCTCAAGAGCAGATGTAGCACATTAGGATCTGAGCTTGTCATGAGTCTGGGATCTTACTGACATTGTTGGTTTCCATCTCGTATAAAGAGGAGTTATTTAATCCACTTGTTAATTAAATCAAGGTTAATTAATTTAGTGAAAAGACTGTGGTTTGATGTTGTAAAATGTTCTGGCAGGATCAGATGGATGTTGCTGCTCCCTGATGCCCATTCCCACTTCCAACTATTCAGCTGTATTGGCAGAAGTGCTGGTGTGGTCACTGCAGTGACTGAATTAAGTGACTGATCCAGCTGAAAAACGGAGTAGAGAAATGAAACAAAGTGTTCCCCATCTTTTACATTTCTTACACCCGACACACCTCAGTCTTGTGTATCCTCATGGAAAATTAAGAAATCATGAGAGACTGGATGAAGCTGCAAGTGGAGATTTTAGAAGGTAGATTTTGTGATAACAGACCACAACTACAGATGGCAGGGACTGTAGCACTTTATTCTTAACTCTTCCATTGAATAGTTGAGTGACTTTGAATTTATCATTTTCCTGCTGCTAGTAATTCTTTTAAACTTCTACTGAAAGCTGAAGGAAATAATTTTACATTGGAAGATGCTAGCTCAGAGAAGTGCAAATGTTTCAATTTTAACAAACTTTTGCCAAAGCGCATGCTTTGCTGCAGGGTATGGTGGGCTACATGAGGACTATGGTCTTCCTTGACTTTGCTCAGTGCCTGAAAATCATCAGCACTTGGTCTTAATTACAGTCTTCTGAAGCTTTTGCATCTCCCTGTGATGCAGCAAGCAGCCTGAGAAGCCCGGGAATTCCAGTTTTACCAAGAGGCTTTCAGAAATTCTGTGCCATTTTCCTTTCCCATCGAGAAAATAAGTTATATTCATGTGAGTCAAGACAGTATGATTGTCTTGCCAGTCAGAGTAAATTTTTTCTTAAATCAGATTGTTTTAGTATTCACCTGATGAGATGAGATTTTTTTTCAAAGTATTTGACTTCTGGTAACAGAAACTCTATGTTTTGATCATCCTGTTTTATGCTTTTACTTGAGCCATCTATCTAGGTTAAGAATGCTTTTTGTTTGTTTATGTTCCTTCATTTGTTTGTTTTTAGCACTCTTTCCTGGAGAATGTCATATAAAGATCAGTTCCTAATCCACTTTCTTCAGCCTGTGAATTATACCCCTTTTGGGTCATCATTGGAGTCCTGCCTTTTCTTGAGCTGACACTAACATGCCTTAGTTTCAGTACAATATATATTCTTCATAAATTAAATATTTTTTTTTCCTCTTAGAAGATCATTTGTATGTTTCTGTGATATTTCTATAGATATGTTGTTTTATTGGGGGATTATTTCATATTGTAAATTAATAACTGAAACCACATTTGACAGACTGCAATTTGTCAGAGAAAAATCTTCTGTAAGCAGTATTAAAAAAAATAATAATTGTTCAACATAATATTTTTATCTTCTCTCTAATTTAGTGCATCTACACACTGATTTAGCAAACTGCATATGAAAGGAGGGATGTAAACAGACTTTGACTGTGCCTATATGGAGATCTTGGACCCTGTCATGCCTTGTATTGACCTGGAGGTCAACCAGAACATGCTTATTCTGGAGCAGAACAATAAAATGGAGATAACAGAACAGGAACCTGATCCCTTGGCTGAGTATAAACTGTGTGTCATGTAGCCATTATGTCCAGTGCTTGTTTCATAGCTATGGCATCCCATCTGAGATATAACATCTGATTGTGAAGTGTCTGATGTCTGTCTCAGGGCAAGGTGAAGCAAGCCTTAACTACAGTTGGCTGTTTAGGATACCTATCAAAGTTCTGAAACAGACTAAAAATGCCAGTCCATTTGTGCTGGAAGATGGTTCAAAAGGCTGCTCTTCATCATTTCTCAACTGTTCGTTGACCTTCCAGCTGAGATGAGAGGTGGTGCAGACCCATGGTACACAATAGCAGGTCAAGTGTAAACATAAGATTGATGCAATAGCAATTTGCCATGGAGAAGAGTGAGATAAAGTATGTATTCAGATAGTCCTAGAGAGAGTTTTTCATGTCACTTGGAGCTTGTTTAGTTTGTCTAGTAAAGAGATAATACTTATGCGGATTTTAGTGGTCTTTTATTTAAAAAGTCTTGCAGTAGGATTACTGCTTTTCTGTGCTTTGGAATGGTATTAATAACTCTCTGAATGCTGTGGGGATCCATGCTTAATTCATGTAACAGTTATCAGCTTAAACTTGAGGTTGATTTATTCCACTTGCAAGCTGTAGGGTATGGGAAGTTGCTTTCTGCACAGAATGGGTTATGTGTAGCTTATGGAAGGACAGAAATTCTTTGTGTAAAGTGTGAGGATAACTGCTCAGACTGTCTCGTCCAATGATTGAAGCAGTGGTAATTTATCACTTTGGAAGAAAAAAAAATAAATTGTGGATTTAAAAAAAAAAATTTTTATTCACATAAAACTCAGAATTGACTTCGTGTAAAAGTGTCAAACTTACTTTACAGTCTTACTTTCATCAATGTTACCTTGGCTGTCCTGTATTAGACTTTCCAATAATACATTCTATGTGAGCAGTTGAGCATGATTGATGGTGTGTGGATTTTTCAGCAGCAACTGGGACTAGTGGCTACATATAACTAGGCAAGAATTTGTTTAGTCATGGAAACAGTAAGAGGAGATGTATGCACAGTGTATATACACATTTTTCTGTGGACTACTGATGCTGAATTTATCACTCTTCCAGTTTATCACAGTTCCAGTTCAGTTTATGATATTGACATCCCAAATAATAATAAAATGGTAAATCAAATTTTTAAGGTATCTAAGTACACTCAGTTGTGTCTGGTTTTGTTGCTACTACTATAAATTTTGGTTTGAAGGGGAAAATTAAGTTACTAAATTTTCCTTTTCTCTCTGTCACCATCAGTTGTCTCCACCTTTTCTGCAGGACTGTTACCAGTATTCCCTTTATGCAATTTTTCCTGTTTTTAGGTCATTGTTATCTGGCATCATCAGAGCACAGCAAAGCAAGTTGCTTGACATTTGTATTGAGTAGAAGCATGGATTCCAGGCAGTCATATATATTTACAGAGAATGGTCATGGCATAACTTTGGTTTTGAAAAGCAATTGTACTCTGGTATGCAATCCCATAAAGTATTTTATTCCCCATTAAATGTTTTTATTTTGTGAAATCATGATTGTATCTGGATGCTTTAGTTTATTAAAAAAAAAAAAAGAAGGAAAAAAAAAAGTCCTGTCCAAAGCTAAAAAAATGAGGGGTAATTGAAAGCAAGTGAGCTGTTTTTGTTCATTTTTTGGTATATCCTTTATTGACATATACATAGCTGCAAGTTATCCCTGTGCAAAATCTTTGGAGGCTCATTGATTGTGCTCGTGAAACAGAGAATACAGTTTGAAGATGATGAAATTACTAGACAGCTGCACCAGAGTATCATCTTTGGAGATGTGCTTCCTTTTATTGCTAACGCTAATTAATGATGCAAGGAAGGAACTGCCATTCTGCATAAGAGCCTGAGATGAGTTGAAGGATCTGGTGCTTAATTTTAACAAATACTGTATTTTCATCTAGAAAGGATAGATTCTTAGGAGGCAATAAACACAGAATCCCACCCTTGCTGCCTTTTTTTTTTTTTTTAGAATTCATATGGGAAGTGCACTTCAAGACAGGGTATCACAAACAAAACTGCATATCCTGTAGAGATCTATAGCGTTGTAGATTCCCTGGACCGTGTTTAAGCCTCGAAAGCTGATCTTTGGCAGGATTCTTAACTCTGTGAGATCTTACATTCTGATTGTTCTTCTTGTTTTTAAAAGCTTATTTATTTATTTATTTCACTTGAAGCTCTGAGCTAGGTGGCCTGGTGATTTCTGTAAGCTGCATTGCTTATAATGTAAAGACCGTGTTATTTGTGAGGCCTGGAAAACACAGTTTATGGGTTTTGAAGCAAAGTCTACAGCCAGTTTGTTTAATCCTTTTGGGTTTAAAGCTGCTCTGTGGTTGGATCCCTGGTTTTCCTGACTCAGGGCTTCAAAACTTTTTGCTTTCTTCTGGGTGAACATGGTATCAGTGGATTGGGATAAAATTGTTCTTAGCTTTTTATACAACTAGAATGGACTTCCAAGTTTAGCTTAGATCAATTGCTTTTCTGGCATCTTGCAGACTGCTTTTGCTTTCAATTTTATTTATTTTTTTTTTTTTTAGCTTCCCAGCCAAGTTAGTAATATAGCCTCAAATCTTTCTCTGTGTCTGAACTCACTTGCTGCTCTAAAGTTGCCAAATTAGTGCTCTGTACTAAAGTGTCTCTGTAGTGCTTTTAAATTTAAGTGCTAGTCTGTAGCTATAAAAAAGCACTTCTGTGCCTGCCTATGCAAAAGATGGGCAGAATTAATATTACACTGATTGCTGTGAAAGGCTGCGTAAAAAGCTTCTATTAGTTGTCTTCCTTGCCCCTCTTCTCTGGCCACAGCTAACATCTTTAATCACTGATCCTTTCGACATAGGCTGAGATTACACAAAGTGACGTGAGTGAGCTCGTGGCTGAGAGTGGCTTTCTGCATCCTGGGTCTCTTAACAGGAATTGTGTCCTTGCTGGCACTGATGCTCATCTGATGCTTGATGAATCACTTTAGTTGACTGCACTATTAGAAAATTAACCTATGGAGAGAGGGGAAAAACCAAGAATTGCTTTCTCCTGTTCAACAGCCTGCACCAGCTTACTTGAGAGGTCTGGGCAAAGGAGAAATTCTGGGAGCTGAGGAGCACCAAGGAAGGACAGACCACCCCTGTCAGTGACTATGAGCTATTTGATGAGCATTAGTAAAGCCTTGCTCTTCCTCAGCAGATGCTTAATGTGGCAGATATGTCAAGATGGGCTAGGCAATGCTGACTATGATTATCAGGTACTTAGGTTTGGCACTGCACTTGCAGTAGCTTTGCTAACTGCCTGATTTTCTCTGATTGCAGATAACCAGACCTACAGCTGTGATTTGAGCACACAAAATCAGTATCTCCTAACACAGTGGGTTGGAGCCCAGAACTCTCTGCTATTCCTGTATGTTGAGAATATATTCTTTGGGAACAAATGTGCTTTCTCTTTGAGAGTAGCCAATAAATACTGGCAGTGGTATAAACTGCACTAGGAAATTTTTTTAACAGTTTTCTGCCCCCATGGTAAAAATCCAGAGTTCAGTAATGTGACAGTAAAATATCATTTTTCATTTCACTAGATGAACAGTGGAATAATTCTTCCTACTAGGGAAAAAAGGATGCCAACAGTTGAAATCTTTAAGCCAAAAAAAATTAAAATTGAAAATATTTTGTTGCTTAATATTTTGTATCAATGCCATGAGCTAGTCTGGAACTCGCTCTCTCTACTTTGTCATTTTGTTTCTCAGAAACACAAATCAGAAGCACTTCCTTAATTTCTAATACTCCAGTTTTATAATCTAGGTTTCATAATTTTATATGGTTTTATAAACTGACATCAACATTCCTTCTGTCTGCTTCCTCTAATAAAAAGACCAGACCAGTTATTCTGTCAGCTCTGTGTAATCCTACCAGTAACTGCTCTAACAGTGTGACCTGTAGGCTGTCAACCTGATCATCACTTAAATCTTTACCTCATTTTTCCACAAGAGCTCAGTCTACTGTATTTTGACATGCTTCTGGTATTAAACTGCTGGAATTGACCCTGTTCGCTCTGTGGATTGGAGCAGAGGTTTTTACTTTCCCGTCTGCAGCTCTGCAATTCTGGTGTCTGTTCAGCATATGCTAGCACCATATGTGAGAAAGGGAGGTGTTAGCTTTTCCCTTCTCTCCCTGCGTAACCTGGGAAGCTGTGGGTGATGCCTTGCATATGCGTGTGGAGTCCCGACTGCAGTCTGTGTGTGGTCAGAGCAGGCTGGAGTCCTGTGCTGCAATCTCACAGCATATAGGTGGTTAGTTAAGAGTCCTACCCTACCATCTTCTTCCTCACTGAATGTTGTGCTTTAAAATCGCTCATACATTCAAGGGTGGTGGTTTCTTTTTTTCAAGTTCATTAAACTGTGTTTCAAGCTACAGTATTACGTTAACTGCATGGTGCTCACTTATTAATACAGAAGTGGCTGAGAGATCAATCTGTAATAAGTCAAAACAGCCGTCCTTAGGAGTTCTTTTTTGTCTTAAGAATTACCATATATGGAGATATGGCAGTAAGGGACGATTTTTTAAACTGAGAATGCAATGCAGAAGAGGGAATGAGGGAAGGATGGTGAAGGGTATGAAGCTGCTTCAACTGGCATTGCTGAAAGAAATGTCCCCTGCTCTGAGAGTCACTGAAGTAGATCATCCATTTGCTTAGCAGGTTGCTAGCACTTAATGAAGAAAGTTCACAAAGGTGTGAAAGGGCCATTACACTGTCATCAGCAATGAAAGGCTATCACTCGCTGGGAGAACCAGGGATTCGGCTTTTGAACTGTCTTTTGAAGTCTTGAAATTCTTCTCACCCCATCCCAGTCTGGTGCCACTGTTGGAGGAGCATGGAACTTTTTAGTTTTGACTTATTGGTTGAATAGTTGTCAAAATACTTCAGGATCTTGTTTCCTTTTTATTTTTTTTCTTAAACAGAAGGGACATTTTCTGAGTAGAAGCTTAGAAGCAGGTGGAAAATGAAAACTATGACTTCTAACATGAGAGACCAAAATCTAACATGTCCTCATAGGGCAGAAGAGAACACCTTGGGGATGGGGCTGTCATTCGTGTGCATGTGTGCTTATTTCTTCCCTTTGATTTTTTGTGTAAGGTTTGAGCTATAACCATGTGTTACGTGTAAGATCTTTTTCACTTTAGAGCTCATTTAGCTTATCAAGGCATTAAAGTTAATGATTAATAAGCTTTGTTTGTTATGCAGCTCTTAATTCCAGGAGCTGCATAGATGCACTGTGGTTACTTTTTTTTAAAGTTAACTAAACTTCACTGTCTAATAAGCAGGCAAACTACTTCAAGTATTACTGTTTAAATGTCTTTGGTTTCCCTACGCTACCAGGCTTAAGTGCAAATAATGCTTGGAAAAGTATGTAGTAAAGCTTCTTTCAAATAGATCTCACAAATGATTTGACAAGAAAATCTTTCTCTCTGCACCATGGAAACTGTTGACTTCCATTAGTGAAAATTGTAAAATGATTATAATTATCTGGAACTTTTTGGCTGTGCCATAAGAGAATGATAGTGTCACCTCACTAGTAATTTTATTTTCAAGCTGATGATGGGCTTTATAGACAAGAATATATCCTTACAGTACAGTGTGTGTAATGTAAATGTGCATGTGCACGTATCCAACTATCTCTTATAACTCCTGAAATTTGAAATAATTGAGAAATGTCTGTTTCATGTCTTGGCAAAAAAATGTGTGCCTGTTCTCAAGGTAACTTAGATCCCAATGAAAAGATTTTGATACTCTTTTAACAATCCCCTACATTCATAAAAGTAAAAGAAAAACTTAATAGAACTATTTTTTGTGGGAGGGAGCCATGATAAAAAGAAGATAGTTCTGATAAAAAGGATGACGGATGCCTTTTTATGAGAGTATAGGAATGGGGAAGAATGGCATGTCATAGCTCAATGACTTTATATATATATATATATATATATGTATATATATATGTATATATTTAAGTGTTTTATATTTTTGAGTTTTGGGCAGGACCTAAACATGAAAGGACATATGCCACGGTATTGTAAATTCTAATAATTTATTTGAATCATTGGTACTTCTGGGATTGTTGAAAGTTATGTTTGCTGAGATTTTAATACATTACATATTTAACTTGTATGTTGTCTGCCTCTCCTATTACATCTGAAGCTGGGGAGGGCAAGAGGGTAGGTAATTATATTAAACCAAAGTCGTTACTGGTCTATGTTAGGAGCTATCTAGAAGTCTTTGAAGTTAATGGAAAGATTCCCACTGGCTGTATACTGTGGATCAGTGAATTCTTACTTTATTGTGTCAT